ATATGTGGGAGAACTATAACATGCATTTTCTTTAAATTATTATCTGTTTCTTCGGACATTCTAGGCCACGTGGCTAGAGTTCTGAAGTGTTGCCATATTCTTGGATTTTTTTTTTCTTATTCTCATTATCTCTCTATAATGGTCTCTCCTTCAGTTATAAAGAGTCCCACTATATTGAATGACAGGGTTGATTTTTTATCGTATACATATTTTTAAAGCGTGTGTCTTGTTTTACTTGTATTTTTATTGATATCAACTTGAGTATATTCTATGTATAAAACGTTATACTCGTTTTTTGTGAGCCACTTGACACATAGTTGTTCAGGTCAAATCAGGTCAGGTACTGTCAGATGATGAGGTACCTCACTTTAATGACCTATGTTAGCTTCGATATTTTCCCACATTTCAACTTATTTGGCATAACATAATTTTGATGGAGTGAATTAGCATTGCGATAGTCATTGTTCTTTTTCGTTATCGAATAATTTACTGTAAATTATTTCAGGTTTGCATGAATATAACTGAGGGCCGTAATAATGATAACAAATTCATCAAATTAAATTGTGTGACTTTACATTATTATTATAGTATATTTGTGTAAATTACAAAGTATATTTCGCCATAATTATTTGTTTTCTTTATAGATATAATTTTCTTTAATTATTCAAGTATGGTAAATTCTTTATTTAATCTATCGGCAATATGATTACTTGTTTCGATCACTGTTTACTTATTTTTTTACACATGTAATTTTACATCTGCTAGCTATTACTATTTTTAACGAATATTCAGATAATGACCTCACTTGACCTTACTCAGGTAGAAGGTACCTTCTTATAGCCATCTGACTCGACCGAAAAATACATTCAAGCTATTTGTATTTATATTTTATTCAGTTATCTCCGTGTTAGAGATTAATTATATTGTACAGCTACTACGATTTCATATTGTTCCTGATTTTCGCTTTCATGTGTGATCACTAAATGCAAAACTACCTTGGTTATCTTAAAGATTTTCCATTTCTTTCCTTTCATACGATAATCGTTAGTATGCCGACCTAATTTTCGAAACATTTTCTTCATTAACCATTCTTAATCACGAACCTCACATTATTACATGGTCCTCGGTGACGACCCCCAGCTGGGTATGGACATGTAATTAGCATTAAGGTAATTAATGTTGAGTTGTCCTGTATGTGCCAAGATGCTCACTTATAGCTAGATGCGACGCGACGCGCCCCTCTTAATGATGTGTGAGATTTTCGTTGGTATTCCCCAAGATGGGATGCCCAATTTGCGTTCTGCGTATGAGCTCATCGATGATCCCCATCTACGGTTGGGTCCGTCATCACTTTTCCTCATGGAATTTATTGGAAGTATATATCATTTACAACCTCGAGGGTTGTCTTTAGGCTGTCAGATAAGGGAAGATGACCCAAACCCGCTTGCATCATGCATTGCTCTGCAAGCCTTACTCTGTTCTGCAACAGACCAGTCATTGTTTCATTCATTTTACATGCTAATTAAAGTACCATTTTGTATGATTTCGCATAGTAGTTGATTAATATTGCAATTACCATAAGTTTATTGTTATTAGTGTGAATGTTCTTTTTGTACAGTTAGATTGGTAATTATTGCGTGCAACCCACATCCTCAGCCCCGCCTACAGACCTGACCCTCTCCCCCATCCTCCCCCATACCTCTTTTACCCCCACACCCAATCCTTCCCTTAGCCTCCCGCCCACCCACTCCTCCTCCCCTAAACTTTCTTCTAACTTCCACGCCATCCTATTCCCTTGATCTGTATTTTAATATTTTTAAATCTAATCTGAACACTGTTTTCTATGCTATACTCTGGCTTGCTCATTTCATAACTCTTACCCATTCACTTACTCAGCTAGTCCACTCAACATTCATGCAGCCACATACGCACATCGTCTCATACAAACCCGTGAATTGCGCAAGAATTACATACGTACTGTTTCTGAGAAAACAATCGACTTGCGCCAATCGTGTATTCTTCCCTTGCATTACATACTTATCTTGCATATGTTGTCTTGAGAAAGCATATTTGATGTAATGAGTCGCTCCCGAAAATATGAGGACTGCATTACCTTGTTGAGAGGCCTAGGGTGAGGTAATTGTGAGAGCCCTAGGCCCTGAGCAGACAGGCGAATTAAACTCGGTGCAGAGAAGACGATGAAGTGTGTGTATTTTTCGGCGGAAAATGCGGTATATAAACAAACAGGGCAAAGTAACACTGCTAGGTCGTTTGCGGTTGAGTGTGCTGATTGGCCGACGGCTGCATCCTTATCTTCCACGCCGCGGACCTCGCCACGCTTGCCTGACGGCTGACTCGACGTAAGGGCAATTATGCCGAGTGAGGTGCGCCGGTGCTGAGTGAGGCAACTAAGCGTCCGCCACAACCTGTTTTCATTATCGCTTTGCCTTGAATTGCTGTTGTTGATGTGTGATAGACAATTTCAATGAAATGAGATAGAACATCTACTTTTAGTCAGATGTATGCACCATTGCACTGCACACTTCTGAACTCTGCATTGTTGCATTCTTATTTCTCTTTTCCGAGGAAGTTAGGCGTTCAAGATGTTCTTGCGAACTGCGACGCCTTTTGCTTCCTTGTAGTTCTGCACAATGCTTTTATCTTGTAGATCGCCTGCTGAGACAATTGCAACCCAAGCACGTCCTTGCGGACTATGGCAATTGTCTCCCTAAGCATGCTCCTCTGTCTATCCTTGGACAGTGAATTATTGGAAAAAATGAATAAAAATTGAAAATTAATGAAAATATTTGGAATAACACTATCATTGCAATCTGATATATTTTGATCATATCTTATGGCCCTTGCTGTCACACAACCCCCCCCCCCCCCCCACCCACTGTTTGCCCTCCTGTCTCTCGCCCTGTCTGCCCTCGGTGTACTTCTTTCAGAGAACGCCAGCACTAGCCCGTCGAGGACGACAGTTAATAGCGTATGCCAAGCGATCTGAGGAACCAGGGTTAGCTGACCACGTCCCCAGCGATATAGACCAGGGACCTGTCTTCATTGGTTCCAGTCATTTGAGAGTAGTAAGTGGAAGGGAGAGGGAGAGAGAAAGAGTCAAAGTAAAAGTTAAAACACTTTCTTTCATTAATTACGAAACGAATCCCAAATATTTGAACAATTGTTAATCATGCTTAAAGCTAGATTTTGCAAAACTGTGATTCTAGTTGCAGCAGCGATTTAATTTCTTGTGTGATTAATATATACCAGGTTGCCCATTACTTTTATGCGCATTTTGTCAACGTGTGGCTCAAATGTCACACATTTGTCTAAGTGTGCTCCTACATTTTTCCTTGTTATGTCCAGATAAATTCAGCCTTCAAATTCCATGGTTGTGTCATTAGGATTTTTATTTATGTTCTGCCGAATACCAATGAATATATATTGAGTTTTATGTACTGCACTAGAAGGCAGTTATGTGCTATGGCTGATAATTTTTTTTGGATATTGTAAATAGGGGTGGACCTAAAATAGATCCTTGCGGAACACTAAGAGGTACTAGTCGTTTTGGTGATATATTATCATTGACTCTTACTGATTAGGTCCTTGCATCTAAATACCCTTTAAACCAAAAAGGTATCAATTTCATGATTTACTAATTTGTCAAGAAATTCATAGTTATCCCTTTCAAAAGATTTAGAAAGGTTACACAATGAGCAAATTTACCTGATTTTTGTCTGTAACTATAAATTTCATCGGTAATCTGTAGTAATGCTGTTTCATTAGATAACCTATTTCTAAAACCATGTTACGGTTTAGATAATCGTCAGTTAATCTGTTACATTTTTTCAGGAATTTTGGATAATATAGGGATTATAGTAAAAAGGCGATAGTAATACACATTATCTATATCCCCCGACTTGATAATTGTTACTATACCATGTCTCCAAGGCGGCGGAAATATACCAGTGACCAGAGAGCTGTTAATAATGACTGTCAAATAATGTGTAGTAGGTAGACTATCTAATAAAGCGCAAAGTAATAACACCTATAACATTTGTTTCGCAAAGGTGTTTTAGTACTAAGATTATAGTAACTACGTTCACTGGTTGTGGTGTGAAAAAATAGTGTTTCATAGGAATGTAGGAGCATTTGTTTATTCATGTTTGTTTTCCATTTTTTGAAAAGAAGTCATTAAAATGTTCTGTGCTTTGTATAGGATCTGTACAATCATTTCGTGTGGTCTTCATTGTTAGGGACTAGTTAAAAAATGTTTTATTGTTCTTATATTCTGCTAATTTATTCATGAAATAATATCTTTCTAAATAGGCGATTTTACATTTTTCTTTTTTACTTTATAATCTGCCTCACTAATGCTCTCTTGATGTCGTCCTTTATCCATGGAACAGGGGGACGTTTCACGGTTCGTACTCGTACTGATAGCGTTGCCTGGTCAAACATTCTGATCGCGCTTGTACTTGTTTTTGTTTAAGAAAACTAGAAATAGTTCAGGGTTTATGTCCTTTCCCTTTATTGACACCGTGAAACTGGTGCAGTAGTCGTATGTCATCACTATTTTATGGGCTTTGACACTTCAAATGTTTTGAAACTTTTCAGATAAGGGTCGTTCTATGTTATATTCGTGTGTGTCTGGGCGACAACTGGTGATATAAAAGTAGACTGTGTCAGGACGATCTGCTCCCTTTAGCTCCCTTTCGTGTTTGCTGTTCGCCGTTATTTCTCTGGTTTCTTGGCATGACTTTGGAGTAACCCTCTTCGTCGACACCTTCGCTGGACTGTTTGTAGGCTTGTTTCCTGTGTGGATTTTGCTCGTTCTGCATAGTTGTTAATGATGACTGGTGGCACTGCTGGAGGAGGGAGGCAGTGGGTAACCCCTTGCACCTGCTGCTTAGCTGGTTCCTCAGTTGGGGGTTTCCTCGGTTGGGGTCGAGTAGTTCGATTTGCTTGTTATTCCTGTTTCATTTTTATTTTTTTTTTTA